CAGGAGTCTGTGGCTGCTGCAGGATTCAATATCTAAAGAGAGATGCAGCGCTCTACAAATGTAAAATCTTGCCATTAACACCAGCTATACAGGAAGAAAAATAATAATGAAACGTAGAAATAGCCATTTTTAATAAACATTTACTCTAGTCCTGAAGCCACATCCATCTGTAGGCCATTTCATCTCAGATATGAAACCTAGACCACACTAAAGTTAATGAGAGTTTTGCTATTGACTTCATCAGTGGGTCAGTAATTTTTTTTTCAGTCACAGGTGCTACATTATTGAACACGATATAAGACACCAGATAGATGCCTTTAGAGATGGCTTTTCAGAAGTTGACATGTGCTGGCAGCTTGCTTTACTACACAAGCATAAATTGCTTACAAGACACTGAACTAAGCACGGAAATATTAAGTAAGAAAATGCAATGAGAGGAAGCAGGGAACACCTACCTTCTGCATCAGCTGCAAGCCTCCTGGTGACGCAGCACAGAGGGTACGTCTACACAGGAGCATACTGGCAATCAAAATAGGCCCGGGAAATGGGTTGAGACCAGCCCTCCCCATGACGTCACCCCTGCGTGCCCCTCAAGCCCCGCCCCCTGCGTCATATCCGGCACGCAACGCAGACGGCGGGTCAGGCTCTGCGTGCCGCACACAGCGCGGATGTGGAGCTGCTCAGAGTGAGGGGCAACAGCGTGTGGACACGACAGCCCACCGGGAAATTCCTGGTATCCCGCCAGGCCAGTCCACCCCTGTGTCTACACTACAGAGCTTTGTCGGGAAAACGGCTGTTTTTCTGACAAAACTTGAGGAACATCCCCACTGCAATAGTGCTCTTCCGCAAGAAAATGGAAAGAACAGAGGGTTTTTTTCCAACATTGGTAATCCTCATTCTACGAGGAAGAAGCCTTTTTGCGAAAGAGCTCTTTCACAAAAGGGTGTGTGGGGACGGGGCAGGGGGAGTTCTTTTGAAAGAAGAGGAAAAAGGAAAAAGCACAGGTGGCCCTCGTGGCCACTCTGTCCATAGTAATCAATCACAGCTTACATGCGAGAGAGTGTCCATTCAGTCTGGAAGCTCTCTTTCAAAAAAGCAGATCGCTTTTTGATGCACTTTTGCAGTGTGGACGCTCTCTTTCAGAAGAAGTTTTTTCCGGACGCTCTCTTCCGAAAAAAGCTTCTTCTGAAAGAAGCCTGCAGTCTAGACGTAGCCACAATGTCAGACCCCCATTTTTTAAAGAAAAGGTTTCAGGATTTAGATTACTGGGGTAGTTTGCTCAGGACAGTAATGCCAGTTGTCAGAGTAACAGTGAAATATGTATCAAACTGCCTGGGAAGCAGATTTTTAAATGCTTCAATTTACATATAATTAAATGTTCTTTAATATGTATAAATACAAAACATTCCCGCTTTTAAAAACAAGTATTTGTTAAGGCAGAAACAATGAAATGATGTGGGGTTAAAGAAGGGCTTTATTTACTACTTTTCTCCCTCAATATGTACAATTAAAACTGCAGAGATTTAAATGGAATGCTCCCTACCACGGGAGCAGCCACTCCCCACATGGACCCAGCGCCCACCGCTAGAGCAGAGCAGCCACTCCCCATGCGGCCCCAGCCACCGGAGCAGGCAGAGGAACCACTCCCCAGGCAGCCCCAGCCTCTGCCCCGGCCGCGGGAGTAGCCAGCAGCCTTGGCCCACTGGAGCAGAGCAGCCACTCTCCACGCAGCCTTGGTCACACGAGCAGCTGCCTAACACGTGGCTGTGTCTGCTGCCCCTTCCCTGTCCCCATCTGCCAGAGCAGCCATTCCACTCACCTTCTGGGTCCAGCAGGCAGGCGAGTGCTGCTGCGCAGCTCTGGGAAGGAGGTGAGCGGCTTTACAATTTCTTGTTCACGGCCATGCAGACGTGCACCTTGGAGGGAACCCTACCCAGGGCCTGGCAATTCAAAAGGGCCTGAGGCACCACACAGTGGCTCAGGGTGGCACTGAAGGCTACCGGTGGAGTGAGGGGTGGTTGAGGTGAAGCATGCTCAGGGCAGTGCTAAGGCCTGGCTGCCCCAGTCCCACCCGAGGCCACCCCATTCCTGGGGCTGCAGGACCCCCCCACCCCCGACACTTAGTACATAAAAAGTTAAATTGAGCTCCATCTTACAGAAAGCACTGATTCCAGTGTTATCTGAAATGAAGGCACAGGCATATAGCCTGAGCCTAGGACTAAGAGCTAGGAACTCTTGGCGCTCTAATCCCACCTGTAGCTATCTCAGACATCTGAGTGCCTTACGGACATTTAGCCACCCAACGTTCACTCAAGGAAATGTTATCTCCATTTTATAGATGGAAGAACTAAAACAGAGGATTAGATTTTCAAAAGCACTCAGGTGTTACTTAATTGTATCCAATTGTATGGAAGCCCTGACTTCCTTAGGAGCAGAGCTAGCTCACCCAAGACCTCTTTTGAAAATCCCACCCAGTGAGAACGAAAACGTTTCAAAGAACATATCAGGCATTGGTGTAGGAGCTGAACCTAGTTCTGAGCCCTAGAATTATGCCTTAAGTGAAAGACCACTTTTCCCCTTCGGCCTTGGGCAAGTCACAGTTTTTCTGCTTCGGTTTCTCCATCTGCAGTGTGAGGATTAATATTGCTTGACAAGAAGATTATGCAGTTTAGTATTAAGTAACGCTCTTTTGTAGAGAAAAGGTGCAAAGTGACAAGTATTGCTGTTTCAGAGTATTGTTTATTTTGTGCTCTGTGTTTCTAGAATTCAAAAACTAGAAGTGATGTTTGAGCCCTCCATATTTTAGAGTGGAAACGTGTACTGCAGGGCAGAGTTCAACGGTTGAGTTATGAATACCTGGTAAAAGCCATTTATTGTCAAAGGATAATACAGATTTAATTATAGCGGCTTCCACTGTGCCACTTTACTATTAAAAAAAATGCTGCTGAGCTCTGAGGCTATCATTCTGCACCATCCTATATAGATTTAACCCACCAGGAGAGACAAATTCAGTTCCTATCTCTCATTGAACCAAAAGGTTTCAGGCTTTTCGGGATCAATACTATGATCAGAAAAAAGCACACTATAATAGTAAAGAGGGTCATTTCACTCAACTCATAACATAGTTTGTCAGCATAATTGGACTTTGTGCCATTTTGAAGCATTTTCTTTAATTGGGTAATCATTCTCTTTTTGCACTGTTACAAATACAATTCCGCCATTAGAAACGAATTATGGTTTTAGCTTAATAGGTTTAGTGATATAAAGAGAGATTGTGTGTCAACAAAACCCTTCCTTCTGACAAATAATGTAATTTATAGCAATGCAGACAGCAATAAATGACATTAACCTGACCACAAGCCATTCAGTTCTTTGAGAATATGGTCCCTGTTAATCAATAACTGGGTAAATGCTCCTTTGCATTCCTTATCAAATGACAGCCAGATGGTACTGTTAAATTCATTCTGACAGGATTTTGGAATTAACTGGGTTTATACTATTGTTAATCTTCTGCTGTCTGCTCTGCTAGGACCTCCCCACCTGTTTCCAGCAACCCCTGAGGTCGCAACCTTAGGAAACCGTCTAGCCAGATGGTCATTCAGATACAGTGGAACCAGATTGAATCCCTGGGTAGTAGCGGTGTCTTTGTCTGATGGAATAAGAATAAGAAAGCAAACACTTTGGTCTTAAAGCTATAGACAGTAGGGTGGGGAACGGATCTCAACCATTTCTCTAGGTAGATGTTTTCATACTAATTCCATAACATAGTGCAGCAAAACAGTTTGCAGAAATATGTGAGTAACATTCTGTGCATAGTTGTGTATGTGGACCATCTCAGATTTTGTTTGTTAAAACTTAAAACTTGTAATCCACATACTTTTTTATTTTTGCATTTTAACATTACATGTGCTGTATTGTCCCATACATAAGAAATATTAAAGGAGACAAAGAGAAGGCTGTGAGAACTGAAATAGCATGTTACTGGTTTAATAATTTATTTGCCCATTGTGGCATATGAAATATATCAGTTAATAATTGCTTACAATGAATGGCCCCAATTTACTATTTATCTGGAGAAATAAAACCGCATGTCATGCTAGTTTAGAGTCTAATCCATTGAAATAAAAGAAATATCCCCCATTAACATGCTGGCAGTTGGATCAGGCCCTTTCTGTCAAAAGATCCTTGGCTGTAAAAATGTACCATATTCTCCAAGCCAATAGAGCTGTGGAACGTGATCTACATTTTGACATCCTATCCTAGTCCTCATGTTCCAAGTCTAGCTCCAGAAACGCAGCAGTTTTTAAATGAACTTTGCTCTATCCCCCAAAATCTTCAAATAATCAAATGTTCAATTTACTGTGCAACCAAATGTAAACAACTGGGCAACCAACCATTCCCCGGGATAGGCAAGAATGTGCATGTAGCAATTTGTTTATATTGGACTGAAAAGGGTGAGGATAAAGTTCAGCTACTGCAAATATCAGGTTTAAAAATTACATGATTGGGGTCCTTCAGGCAGACTCTATCCTGTAGTGTATCAAATAGGTCAGATGTCAGGCTCAGTTTTGCCATTGAATTGAATGAAGTCAAGATTTCACTTTTATATCTTTACCCAATTTTTATCTTTTTGTCAATAAATTTCATCTTTCCAAAACCAGAATGGAATTCAAATCAAGGTTTCAAGAGAGTAACTGTGTCCACAGTCCCCGTTATCTTTAATGGGAACTACATTCCTGAATCAGATAGCAAAACTAACTCTAGCTGTGTAAGCACCTGAAAATGTTCAAAGTACAATATGAATTTCAGTATAGTACAGTATGGGTATTTCAAAGTAGTCCATCAAAAAATATTTCAGCTGATTCAGCGCAGCTTGGTTTGTTTCATCCCAGGTCAGATGGAAAAAAACAATACAGCATTCATGCAACAGGTGTAGTTTCAGAAAGAAAGGAACAGATTATTAGTTACTAATAGTCCTTTTTCTTCTGTCATTTCAATAGTATTCAGGCTTTCAACAAACAGCGGACAAGTGCTTTGTTTGTGGACACCTCATAATGGAAATGGTAAGCATTAATTCCTTAACTGTGGAATATATTTATATTGATACTTTTCAGAGAGTGCATTGTAATGTGCTGTTTGCTTTTGACCTCATCAGATTATTCCTGTGTCTCCACTATTGTCAAGGACATTTTAATCAAGGGAGCATCACTATTAAAATGAAAATAAATTCACATGGTTTTGCCATTCACACTTAAATGCATAGAGAGGACCTTCTCCTCTATCTGAACTTGTGGAGCTATGACTGATGTTACTGAGTGTTCCACTAAACAAGGAAGAAGGGATATAATCAGCTAGCAGTGAAAAATCTTTGGTACATTTAATATGCCACAACATATAAAATCTTTTCGGGGGGAGGGGAAGGAAGAGAAGTGATAAAAGAAAACACAGATATGCTGTTTCTTGGATAGCCAGGGGAAATAGCAGGAACCCTGTCATAGGAGAGGAAGCATGGTCCAGTGGTCACAGCTGGAGGAACTGGGAATGCAAAGTCTTGAGCTCTATTCCCTTCCCTTCCATTATGACCGTGTGCACCTCATTTTACCTTTCTGTGCCTCGATGTTCCCATCTGTAAAATAGGGGTAAGAGGTTACTTACCTATAGCTGGAGGTTCTTTGAGATGGGTAGCCCCTATTTTGATTCCACACATGACTGCACATGCACACCACATGCTGGAGCTGTACCAGTTCTGTAGCAGTGTCCATTGACCTGCACATACATTGTCATGGTGGGCCCAGTTGAGGCTATAAGAAATTGTGTGGGTTGACACCACTCCAGAGCTCTCTTACAGCTAAACCGTATAGTCTGCAGCAGAAAGATGGAGGGCAGGTATTGGAATCCAAATAGGGACTGCACATCTCAAAGACCTTCCAGCTGATCTCTCTCTGGATTCCAAACATCAGGCAGTGATCAGCATGGAGATGGGCGCGAGGACTCACAGGACGTTACAGACTGCAAGAAGACGCAGCCAATGGCCACCTCAGCCGTTGCTGCCAGAGCCATGGCATAGGGCAGGGAGTGGGCAATAATTTTTGATGTGGCTACTTCAAGATTTTGGTACATGGTCAAAGGCCGCACTTTCCTATGGCGGAGGTTCAGGGTCTGTGATGGAGGTTGGGTGCAGAAGGAAGCTCAGGGTATGGGTGAGGATGTGGGGTCTGAGAAGGAGTTTGGGTGAAGAAAGGGGTTGTGACCTGAAGCAGGGGATTGAGGTGCAGGGTCCGGGATGGCGTATGGGTGCAGAAGATTGTTCTGACGTGGGGGAGAGGTACAGAAGGGGCTGCAGAGGGTTTGGGTTATGACCTGGGACAGGGAATTGGGGAGTGGGAAGGGGTGGGGTGCCAGAGACAGGCTTTGGTCAGGAAGCGCTTACCGAGGCAGCTCCTGGTCAGCAGCCAAGAGGGGCCCTCAGGCAGGCTCCCTGCCTGACACAGCCCTAGGTCAGTCAAAACAGCTGGCTGCTGGGGCCTTGGCCTCTTTGTGCCAGGCATCGAGGGGGGAGGGAGAACACTTTACATGCTGTCTTCACCCGCAGCACACTTCTCGTAGCTCCCATTGGCCATTTTGGGAGCTGCTACGATTGTGTTGGCGGTGGGGGCAGCACTCAAAAGCTCTTTCCCCCCCGCTCCCCATGGCATGCAGCTCCTAGAACAGTGGTCTCCAACCTTTTTACACCCAAGATCACTTTTTAAATTTCAGAACAGGCAAAGATCTACCGCCCCGCCCTTCCTTGAAGCCCCACCCTCTCTATTCTCCTCCTGTCCATCACTTGCTATCCCCAGCCCTTACTTACACACTCTGATAAACAGTTTATTTTTAAATTATGTGATATATAAAATTAAAATCACGTGTTTATAGTTATTAAATAAATGATCTGGTTTTTATTCATGCTATTTAAATCTAAAATGAAGCATTTATAATTATACATTTTGTGGGGACAGAGTTCTGTGGCTGGGGGCAGGGGAGAGGGAACAGGGTGCTGGGAGGGCAGAGGACAGTGTTCCGCAGCTGGGGACAGGGTGCCAGTGGGGACAGAGTTCAGGGAGTGGGGACAGGAATGGGGACAGGGGAGTGGGGTCTAGGGGGAGGGGAGTGCGGACAGGGGGCGGGGTGCCAGTGGCAGCAGAGAGTCCCCTGCATCTGCCTCCTCCCAGGATTCTTCTCCCCCCCGCCCGAGGGAAGCCAGCACGTGCCTCCTCCGGGCC